TAGCTGGAATATCCCAATTAGAAAAATGACATACGTAACTAAGCGAATTAAGCAAGATGAAAGCTGGCAGTTTCAACTACTTAACAGAGCTCTTCATCATACAACGAGTAGTTACTTCCTCTTATTTGTGATATTGTTCATCGGAAACTTAATTGCCTTGAGCTCTACAACGTGTGCCTGCGAAAACATCCTGCACTCATCCAGCATCACCTAATTTGACAATGGCTTGTCTCTTGCCAAGTTTTCCTGAAGTGCAGTGGAATGCTTCACTTACATTGGGATGAAGTCCTCTCAATAATCATTTTTAAAGACAGCACAGCAGAATATTTGTCCAGACAAGTGGAAGACCCCAAAGAAGGTCTTCCACTTGTCTTTTGTAGGCCTTTTGATGGTGGGGGCTGATTTCTTTGAGGATGAGGACTGATGTCGCTCCAGGCGGCTCTTGGTTGCTGCTGATGTCGAGCTCATTTGGGTGAACGGCACACAAGGCACGGCACTCATGTATGGAGGCAACCACGTGTTTTTCTTGTGAGTGCAAGCCCGACCATCCCGGAAGCTTGAGGTCACCTCTAAATAGAAGAGCAGCGCACCATGTGTGAGCAGGCTTCACTGAGACTGGACATGCATGTGCAGTGCGCAGCTTCGAGCATTCCATCCTGCTTTACTAGAAGCCACGGCTCTAGCGGCTGAGATGAAATTGCCTAGGAGTGGTTCGCTTGCGAAAGGAAGAAAGAGCTCATTTAACCGTTGACTTTATGCATGTTCAAAACACAGGCTGCCAAAATGCACACAAAGCAAAGCGACTTACTGCATAAACAACGAGTGAATTTATTGTGGCCACCGCTGTGCATTATTCTTGGAGAATGTGTGGTCACCGCTGCTCCATTCTCCTTGGAGAACGCAGCAGAGCTTGAATCGTTAACAGCAGCTGGGTGGGAAAACACCTGTTTGATTGTGGCCAGGTATTATTTCAGTTTTGCTTTTTTTCTTTTTCTCTCAGCTCCACAGAGACGGTGTTACCTGACTCTGTGCTGTTGTAAAAACGCACTTCAGGAGTTATGGTTATCACCTCACAGACAATTGTGAATGTGTTACAGGGTTACAACATCAATATTCCAACATCGATCACACACCTGTCATACATATCGTAAGCAATAGCTTTACAGAGCGATCCAGATAATCAGTCTTTGCGCTTTAGATTGTGTTACCTTGGTACGCACAATGATGTACTCGCTGTGTCTTCGCAGCTGGGCTCTTGCACGAATCTGCTAGTCATGTAATCATGAGACTCTAACGACTACTTTGCTGTCAGCTGTTCATGAGTGATGAAACTCGTCACGTGCATGAGGTAGTCTTTAATGTCCAAAGTTTTACCTTGGCTACGAGCATGACTTCGAACGTGGTCTCGTTGTATGTAAGCGAAAGAATCGACGCCACCGCAAAGTTCCGCTTTCTTGATGTGGCGTTCTTTCGCACTCGCGTCTGAATTCTTCGTATACAAACTCAACCATAATGAGGGGTGCACATTTATGATCACAAAACAGTGACGCACCTCAGATAAAGTGATGAAAAGGCACAGATCACCAGCCACGGTGCTGGAAAATCATGGAGAAAAGTACTTTTCGTTGACACCGTCCCCCCGAAAAGATGGCGGTACCCACAGTAGCGAACGCAGTTCGAGTCCTTTCGGTCATTGCGCCGGCCAGGCTGCTCTATCGTGACGTCACGTGAATACCAAGTATAGAATCAAGTAGCAACTACCATGACTGAGAAACAGTGTCAGCACACTTTCAATTACTAAATAGTGCAAAATTTTTCTGCAGTGGTTTGTTGAATCAGACACACGAACTTCAATATGCACTACATATAAAAGGGTGTTTTTATTGAGTCTTAATATCTGCGTGGCAAACAAATCTGCCACTTGTTGCGTAAGGACACAAAACACGAGTTTGTTCAAAACCAAGTACCACTGCTTGGTGGCAGCACCATATTGTCGGCACAAAGCTTTTTCGTGCACAGTGGCATTTTCAGCCCAGGCTAAGAAGCACTAGGGCTTTAGAATACGTATCCACGTATTTTCTAGTAAATTAACACTCTGCCTAACACTTACGCGTATTCATGTTGCGTCTCAGACATGCGTAATCTCACCTTTTGGATTAGCATTGTCCAGAGGTATAAACTCAGCCAGCATTTCAAGATGTCATGGCGTCCAGCAAACGTTGGAGGTTTGAACAGGTGGCTGATTCACGTGACAGAAAGAAAGATACAGAGACCTCAATTTCTGCGTTCAAGTGTCTTAGGATGAACTGGTGTCTATAAAAATAGCGCGCTTTCCTAGACAGATGATTCCCATGGCAACCGACCAATGATCCTTCGTTTACTACCTGAAGGCAGCAAGTCTCCTAGAACTAGACTCTCGCTACGAAGGCAGGAAAGAAGTGCACACTCAAGGGCTCGTGTTTTTCGCTCGACACAATATTGTCACTCACCCCACAACAATAATAATGAGATCTAACAGGCAATCATGCCAAGAAAAGTGTGGGGGATGTCATATTAGGTAATTTAACTTGCCGTGAATAGTTGCCGGCTCGTAATAACTGCCAGAAAGCTGCCAGCCCGTAAGAAGATCAAGGCAAAAAAAAAAAGAGTTTTCCTAAACTCGCCGTCATGGCTACAGGCGGCGCTGACTGACACTTTTACGTTTATTTCACACATACACCCAGTAAAGTGAATGGGGCATAGCAGCCACGGTTTCTCAGTTGGTAGAACATCAGGCGCGTTATTTAAGTCCCGCTTAAAGTGCGTATCGGTGTCAGAGACCTCAGGTAGCAACCGTTTAAGGCATTTTGCGGCAGCTTCCCGTGCCCGCGCCGCCTCAGGATCCGCTTACTGGCCCTTCCGTCTAGATTCCGCTTCACCGGTTCTTGCCACATCAGAGTCCACTTGTCGACGAGCCCATGTCACTTTAGCTCCTCGAGCTCTCATCTTCGGGTCAGTACGACGCTGGCATTTTACTTCGGCTTTTCGAGTCCTTAATTCCAAGTGGGCTTCATGGCGAGCCTGAGCTGCACCTGCTTTGTTTACCCTTCACTCCGCGGCCTTGTCTTCATTTTTATTGTCACGGGCTGGAACTATAGCTTAGAATAATGAAGACAAAGTGCTGAGTGGAACGCGCTTCAACTGCAGCAGTGTTACACGCATTTCCTCACCAATATATCCTACGCATATACTTTATTCCCCGTAACATCATTGGAGGAGGTGCGGTGTACGACGCGGCTTCAGGAGCTAGATCTTCGCAGCAGACGGCGTTTTGCTGCTACCATGACGACTCACAAAGCTACTAGATCTGAGCAAGGCCCCTCGGCTGCGCAGGCGATCGTTATGGTGTAGCTCCGTGTCCCTGAGCCATGCAACAGCACAAGTGGCTTAGACGTCAACTACCTAGTGCGATCCTGATCCATCCACCACAAGTTCACTAAAGCATACTGCCCGCAAACCAATGGCCACATGGAACGCCAGAACCGTACCCTGACAAGCTTGCTAGTGAAGTACGTCTCTGAGGGCTACTGAGTTTTCACATTTGTTTACCTTTAGTTACTTTCGCGTTCCAAAACCAATGGCCACATTCAACGCCAGAACCGTACCCTGACAAGTTTGCTAGTGAAGTACGTCTCTGAGGGCTACTGAGTTTTCACATTCGTTTACCTTTAGTTACTTTCGCGTTCCAAACTCTTCACGTTACGACACAGGTAGCTTTTCACCTTTTTGCCTACTTTTTGGTTATCACCTGCTTTTACCCATGCACACCAAGCTTCATTCTGACGCCGACTCATCGACTATCTATGCTGGCTATGCAGTGGCCCATGCCTAAATTGCCCGCCAAGAAGGCCGGTATTGTTCACGTGCTGCGCAGGTCAATCAAAATTGTATTTACGATCGCCGACACTCCACAGTTAAGTACTCACTGGGGTCGCTGCCCTTGATGTGGTCACCCTCTCGACGTGTTGGTCTCTGCGAAAAAGTGATGCGTTGTTTTGTTGGCTGTTACCGCGTTAAACGAAAGGTCACTGGTGTCTTCTATGAGATTGTTTCACTCCATCCTACGTCAGCAACAGCTTCAGTCCCGACCAATATAGTGCATGTCCCGAGGCTTAAACCATGCTACTCACGCACCGAGAATTGATGGCACCGGGATGGTGTTTCAGCCGCCGGCGGTTATTGTTGCTGGCTGGGAAGGTAGCTTAGTATGATTGCGACGAAGTAGTGGCCTGAACGCGCTTCTACTGCAGCAGTATTGAACGTATTTGCTCCCAAATTTATCCTGTGCATATGCCTTCTTCCTCGTAAGTATAATATGGAATCGCACCGACTTACGACTGTATTTCTTACCTCACAATAAAAATGTCGAAAGAGAAACAAAGCACGCCGGCAGCTAGTGTGGTTTGTAGTTTACCTTAAGTTCGACTGAAAGAGACTAAAGCACGCGCTGGAAAAGAGTGAGTGCTACAGAGCCATCTAATGGCCTCCGTTCGGTGCACGTCAAAGAACCCCAGGTGGTCGAAATTTCTGTAGCCCTCGACTACGGCGTCTCTCATATTCATATGGTGGTTTTGGGACGTTCAACTCCACATATCAATCAATATTGGCCTCCGTTGAAACTAGATGAGAGAACACAGATGCGCTTCTAGTGAATGCTCCAACTACTAGAAGCTGGCTACGGCGTTGGAGGGACAAGCCCGGACTATAAGGAGCTTCGCCCCTGAAACACCCCCTGCTGCATCGGCGGCATGGTCTTGCAGGAGTGCCACTTATTTACAAATGCTTGGGCATTGTTCACATTCTATAAAATTTGTTTCCCAAGTGATAACAATGCTAACTTGGCAGGACGCATCTCTTGAAATTCAGCATGCTTGCACTTAGGCACACCTGTACTCGGAGAAGCACGTTCGGTAGTCAGCTCACGGGGGCTCGTTCGCAGGTCGGCATGGTCGATGGCTGCTCTATGACAGGCGAGGCATGTGCGGCCTCTCTGCAATAGGCGGACTAGGCTCGTCGTCCTCAGGCACGTCTGTCATAGTCGTAGCACCTGAGAAGTTCAGCCATGGTTGGAACCTTGAAGTTCGGCAGAGGGAGACTGCGAGGAGAAGGCATGGCACTGCCGCCAAATCACGCACAGCGTTGAGGCCGACGAAAGGTTGGTTTGAAATTGTGAATGGTGATACCTCCACGATTGGGGGTTGAATAGTTAGCATGCCGGTGTCTATGTCTGTGACACACTTCAGCTCCTCGATGACACACTCCAGCTCCTCAAGGTTGCCGCACACTCTAGAGTTTGCGGCAACCTAGCCATCGTAGTCATCGTTTGAGAAGTTGCACGAGCCCTGGATATTGAATAAGCGTGCAGATCAATAACAGGCAAGTGAGATTGTCCTTTTGCTGCGGGCTTCAAAAGTATGCACCTACCGGTGGAGAAGTCTGCTGATGTAAGAGCGCCTTACCTCGTCGTCGTGGTCGGACGGAAAAATGGATGCTTCTGCGGCCAGATTCGAGGTAGAAATAGTCGTGTCCGGGAAGTGGGGTCTTCGTCAAGGAAGGATTGTGGGCTGGTTGGGGAAGCCTGGAACTCATGGCTCACCGTAAGTGGGAGGTAGGTTTCCCTATAGCAGTCCAGCACTGCAGAACCAGTGATCATGGTATTGTTGCGGGCTGGATAATAATGCGGCAGTAAGGTGACATCTCGAAGCCGCATCAAACCTCAAATACGAGATGCCGCAGTTCAACCGGGTGGGCATGGCCGCAGGTCAATGTACGTTATCGTTTGCGCAGTGACGCTGCGCCAGTCACCTCGAGAATGGCATCCAGATTTTTCAGGTACAGTCGGCGACAGGCCGCGTGGACTTGAGGCACTGGGTGGTAGAGTCTTGAAATCATGACAGCGTCCAACTGGCGCAAGTCATGTTCTTCGGGTCGCCACCGTACCGAGAGACGTGACACGACGGGAAGGCGGCCACCTTGGCTGAACCGGGGTCCCACCACTTTACTTCAAGGTTGAGTGTCGCGGCTGCTAGTGTCCATTCCGCCAGGAGTGGGAGTGCGTTCTGCTTGGCTCTCGCCTCAACCTTCAGCATGAGCTTCACGAGAGGCGCGGTGCTGCGGCTTGTAACATGAGTATGGCGATCAATGGCTATGAACATCACGCTACGGTCTCACTACTCAACGTTTCCGCAGATACTCTTAAAGATAGATTATGTACTTTAAGTGGGCGCCATCATGTTGGTATCGCGATAATGAAGATTTATAGCTTATTTGAAGGTCGCGGAATTGAAATTCTCTGGGTGGTCCCCTTAAGTTTCGGTGCGCGTTAAATGTCCTCTGGTATTCAAGTTTCCTGGAGCCCTTTACAATGGTGTCCCGCATATTTATATCGTGGTCTTCGGAAGTAAACACCAAAACATAAAACAATTATCCCCCTCACTGGTTCTTTATTCGCATGATCATAAGTGTTACTCTCTTTGCCAGACGGCCTCTGAGGTACTGAAGCCTGCTGGTATACTGATGGGGACTGAAGTATTGTTGACACCAAGGATAGTAAATTGGTTTAGATGCAACTGAAGGAGTCCTGGTTTTTGTTCGCGGGACCTTTTTTGTTGCTTTAGCAATGACAGCATTGAAGTTGCCAACACAATCTTCCGATGGGCCGGTAAGTATAGAAAAATTCTTACTCGCAAATCATACCAAGAATGTTCACCTGAAAATGAAAAGTCGGTTTTGAGTGAAACTTTAAAATACAACCGTAGGTGACGCTTTTAACGCTCTAAAGCCAACATTTCCACAAAGTTTATAGGCGGGCAAACGTTTATGATTATCGAAGGCAATACTGAATGAGGTAACAGGGAGAAGTGAAAATTTTGATAGGTTCTTATTAGTGCTTTTTTCGTGTTGGTTGATCGTTACGTTGATTGCTTTAGCGAACTTCACAAATCACCACAATAATTTCAATAGTGTCTAGAGTCTGTACAAGCTACAGTATGTTCATCCGGCCAATTAAAGAAAAAAAGAAAGCTTATTCCTAAAATTACTAGAAACACTTCCTAAGTCTAAAAAATCAGTACAACATGAGGAGTCGACTTAGAGGTTCACAGAGGTTTATTTTTACATTGCTAAATTGAAGCTACACTCTAAAAAAGAGCTAGTAAAAAGGGTTTCTTTTTGTCCTACAACAATAATTGTCATCTATATTGCGTTCCATCCTTGAGCTATTGCCACGCGCCTGGTACATTCCCGTCACGATCGACATGCCCATTATCAGGGTTACATTGCATTCTCGATAGGAAAGTGGACAGCGCCGAGTTTTCAAGAAAGGAAGCGCACGCAAGCCTGATGACGATTATTGTTGTGAGACAAAAAGACACACTTTTTACTGGATATTTTTTTAGAGTGCAGTAGAAACTGGTGAATGGGTATTTGGGTCTTCATCGCGGTGACGTTACAAAGGTGGCATTAGGTGCCATTGACACCTCTATTTTGGGCGTGTCTCAGGTTATCCTTTTTTTTGTACGAATATCCTAATACTCATGCGCACTTTATGGTAGGAGTTTCATATGACGAGCAGATATCTTTCTTTTTCATACTTTCGCCGTTTCACGTCGCACAAGAAAAAAGTGTGCCAGAAAGGAAGATAAGCTCGTTATAGCGCTACTTGCCGTTTTACTGATGACCGTGCGGCTCCTTTGAAAAGATATTGGTCAATTCTCAAACAACATGGTTTGCTTTTTTAAACGCGGCAAGCTGGCATGTGAATAAGAAAGTAGTTAGACCACTCAAGCTCTTTCCCAAAGAGCCGAGTGTACGTCGATTTAGTTCCGTTTAGTAACATACCTTAGGTACAGAGCTGTGAGAAAGTTTTGTCAGGTCTCAATTAGGCATGTTCAGAAATGCGGAAGTATTGACTTTCGGTGAATAACAGCAGTATAAAACTGATTTTCTCAGCAATTATTATTGATATGTTATTCATAAAAATCACGAACACCAAGTGGCCGAACATTAATCCACGTTGTACTACGGACGAAGCAGGAACCTATAATGATCTACTGGAAGTCTTCAGAATAATTAGCTGACGACAAAAAATGACACATATTTCAAGTCACCAAAACACACTTCCAGAAAAGACCATATCAGCTGGTAGGCTGAGTATCCACTACTGATTTGGCTTAGTGGTATTATGAAATGAAGAATAAGCGATTCACCTTGAACCCTTTGTGAATTACAGACGCAACTTTTTCTGTCTAGAAAATTCAACCAGTTTTGTGTCACAGATAGAACAATGTCGACATTAATGCCTGAAAAAACACCTATACTCGCTTAGATGTTTACCAATATTGGTGTAGAAGGAAATTGACTCTCTAGCTATGATGCTAGGCACAAAAATTGTGGTGGTATAAAGCGTTATTTTAGGTCGTTCTTTCCGATTGACCTTAACCAACCACCTCTCTATCCTGCCCGCTCTTGTAGCGAAGGCGAAAACACGCGGGGATGAATGAAATTCGTGAGACCAACGTATTTCTGTAACCTGCGATTCCGCTTCATCAATCGGCTATATAATTTGCTCGGATTTACGGCGCTAACGAGGCCGAAGAATCCGTCCTTCGAATTTTTTTTACTTTTGTTCACGTTACCGGGTAAATGAAGTACAATACGACACTATCCCCTGAGTGAATGAGCATGAAATGTTTGAAGCGATCAGTTCTCTCGACGGCTTTGGGTTGATTGCAAGTCACAGTTTCTCCCAGCGCGATAAGTTGCGTAATATCAAGCTAATTGCTGCGAATTGGTGTAGACGAAGTTCCATGTTGCATGGCTGTTACTCATTATGGACGATTTGGTATCATCAAGAGCCATATTTACTTGTTAACATTTATTCTTGGGTGAATACTTAGGTTGACAGAAGTTATCTAGCATGGCAGCTGCTGACAAATACGAAAGAACAACAATAAACCTCTTTCTTTAAAACAATGGCCCCGTATCTTGCATGTTACACTGCAAATGGTGTCGAAAGACAATAGTGTTGTTGTCTGGAAAAACGAACAAAACGTTGATTTGATGTTCTGTGCAAGAAAATCAGTGAATGGTATTCTGGAGGCGCTGCGTTAGAGTGCCTCGAGCGTGCAGTGGAGGCGAACGAGCGCATCATGGTAACGTCACACTTGAGATGGGCGTTATGTGGTATTATGCTGGATAACGAAGCGTGTGGCGTGCGCGCCCGTCTCTCTAGGTGATAAGGTGTACGCAAGCCAACGAGTAGGTGCCACCACCGTGTCGTCTTAAAACGTCGGAAACACTTGCCTTTTCGGGCAAGCGTTGCCTGGTCAGCGCAGCGTGATAAACACTACGGTCCTTAGAATTGCTTGTGTATGCCTTTTGTAGTAAAAAGACACACATAAAGATAATTTTACGTGTTGTTATGATGCCTCAGATGTGCAAAATAACTTGCTTTATAATTGACAATCACACAAGGATGAAAGCTGAATATTGAGGAATATTGGTGGGCGCTGCGAATGGCGTCGGCCGTTTGGAGCATCATTTGTTCAGTTGGGTGCACTTTTGGGTACCATTAAGGCGGACAAATAGACAAATGTACAGACAGAGAGATAGGCGGACAGACCAATATTTTTGCGTCGAAGGCCAAGAGAGACTGTTGTCTTTAAAACTACCGCATATTGCACCTATTATGTATGTTTGAACCCGCCTTGTTTTAAGGGTCTCTCACATGTGCGACTAGTATCATTGACCTGCCAATGAGCGACTGTCGAACAAAAAGCGACATAACGCGACAGTTGATGATACCGACGTGCGAATTGCAGTTTACTGAAAGAAAAATTCAAATATTTCCTGTTCAAGGCTTGCATTGTGGTGACCCCATACCGTAAGTTGACGTCCTGTTTTAGAGCGTCAATTTGGACAGTGGTTTGCGACTGGGGTACCTCGAATTCAATATGTAGAACCGAGGTACTCAGACAAAAAAAGTTTTTTTTTGTGTGACCAAAGCGTTACTTGTGGCTGTCATCGGGAAGTCGCTTTGCCCTAAACTTTGTCGCTGAACCAATACTATTCACAGATCTGCACAACTCTTAGAAGTTTGTATTTGATTTGAGATATGCTGCTTAATCAATCATAGAAGTTTAGATCTCAGGTGCGACAATGTGTCGTTGACCTTGTTGACTACTGCAGCCTTTGTCAAGCAGAGAAAGGAAGTTCAAACTCCACCTTAAGGGCGTTTTTGTCCATCTGATGGAAAAGTAAGTCTTTCCCTGTTACAGCCTATTTATGCTGTTTTGTGTACTTGATAAAAGATACAATTATTTTCCGGTCAATCGCTTATTTCAAGCGCATGAGCAGTTTCACTGACAATTGTGGATTAATATAAAGAAATAGTAAAATATAGTAGTTATCATACTGAAACTGTAACAAAATTTCGTGTCACAACTGTCACACTTTACTAAAGCACTGACCATGGTCACAGTGGTTGAAACATACCAGGCAGTCGAAGCCTTGATTTGAAGACACCACAGGTCCTGTTCCCGCCAGTGTAGACCAGATCCTCTTCAACGACTGATCTTTTACCTGGTAAACAAGCGAATACTTATCACGAGCAATATTGATATGCGTTGACGAGCATTATTTTTTTAATTATGAATTGAATAAGCTTTTTAGCAGATGCTTAATCACGAAGCGCTGAGCAATACCAATTTTAGGAAGCAACGTTCTATATTTAGAACAAGACCTAAGTGTTCACTCATTATGTTATAAAAAGTTGCACAATCAGTACTGAACAAACTGAAATGATGGTGGTAGATCTACATTAGAGTGGCAGATCTACAATGCGTTCCTACGAAGCAACGCTCGCCACTATGCACCTTCAGCCCACTGTGCACCTTCCCACATCCTGACCTGTGGTTCAGTGAAGGGCGCCAGAAGTTCATTGACCATTTGGCCTCATCGTAAAACAGCCAGTATATATCAACGTGTGTAGACCCGATCACGCACCGACCTGAGAAATTACTGCTCGCTCACATCATGGCAGAGTCAGTGGCCCTTGGCCTCATCATCGCTTGACTGATTGATTGATATGTGGGGTTTAACGTACCAAAATCACCATATGATTATGAGGAACGCCATAGTGGAGGGCTCCGGAAATTTCGACCACCTGGGGTTCTTTAACATGCACCCAAATTTGAGCACACGGGCTTACAACATTTCCGCCTCCATCAGAAATGCAGCCGCCGCAGCTGAGATTCGATCCCGTGACCTGCCGGTCCGCAGCTGAGTACATTGGCCACTAGACCACCGTGGCGGGGCGTCTAAGCATTGCTTAGATGAACCGCTACGGACTAACCAATGAACATTACAGCTTATCGTGGTAGTCAATTTGTTTCCTCCAGACTTTGTTCATTATGCTTGGTATCAACCACATCGAAACAACAGCTTACCACGCTTTTGTCGAACGCCATGGTTCAGCTGTTTCAGCGCTAACTGAAAAATTTGATCATGGCCTCGCGATCGTTGACACCCTGGACCAAGTGCCTACCACTCGCCCTCCTCGCACTTCGCAGCACGATACGTACAGACGTGTCCTTCTCCTAAGCTGAGCTCGTCTTTGTCAAGACTTTAAGGCTTTCTGGCCTGTTTTTCGACGCGTGTCCGGTACCACCAATTCACGTTGCTGAGCTAGTCGCCTCAGGAGCACCATGAGAGACGCGTCTCCTATGGACACTTTTCGAAAGAGGGTGCCCCTTGCACCGCAGACGTGAACTACAGTCTGCCGCCGTTGTGAGAACACCGCAGCAAACGACGCAAACTGTGTGTCCCAGCGACGCTGATGCGCGTTTTTTGCAGCGCACACATACAACTTTTGCGTTCCTGCAGGACGCGGACCGCGTCGGGAGGCACGCCGAAGAGAGTCTCTTGCAGGCCAGATCCATGCATTGTCAGTCATAACAAGCCAAACTGCTCGTCCAACCCGTTAAAGGGTACAAAATATTGCTCATTGTGCAGCCAAAGCTGCTCAAAAAGCTTTTCGGAGAGTACTAGAAGCTCGTTCAACATAGAAAGTGGTGCGATTGCAGCTGATGATACGGAGAACTAGCCGCCAACACAAACATCACTGCACTCACGCATTTAACGGCTCGCTTTCCATGCCCTCATGATGGCGTTAGCTATCCCATGCACCTTTGCTAATCGAAACTGACGAAAAGCTGACCGTCAGGTGGCGTATCTATGAAAAGGGTCTATAGGCCCAAGTTTTGTGAGTCATGCTCTCCGGCATTGCACACATGTCTTTGTGTGGCACGATGCAATGCGACCACCACTACAAGCGCCTTATGATAGACTCTTTACAGTTGTTAAGCTTTAGACCAAACACTTTGTCCCGCTATCTAATGAGCGCGAAGACAGCGTCTCCATTGACCACACTAGGCGGGCATTCCTCGACACTGCCCTCGCAGACAAGCCATCCGCCAACACCAGACGAACACGCTTGGCAACAAAAGAAATTACCAGTTACTCATAAGAATCATGCTTTCGCACACTGGCTACCTCTCTGGAAAGAGGGGAGGCATGGCAAGCTGTCATCGTTTAAGAGTTGACGATTAATGTGCGCCTCAGCAGTTCCGTATCTTCGAGCAAGGCGCAAACGAAGACAGCCGAAATAACGACAGCACCTGTGGCTGTCCATCGCAGAGCAAACATCAATAAAGTGTGTGCAAAAGCAAACGCCTCCCATTTTCTTACAAATCTAAGGAAGCTGAATTGAGCAACTAAAACAAATAAAAATCGCGCATAAATATCACTTATATAACTTTATGGGTTAAGTACATAAGCAGGTACTATTTTAGGAGCGAAGCTCCTTATAGCGTAACCCGTTCGTCCCTCGTAGTCATAGAAGTGTGTAACCAGTCTTACATTTTGACCTCCAAGGTGGTTCTGGTGGGTGATTTATTCTGTGCGTTGTTGAACAATAAAAAAATCGCAGCGTGCGCGTTGGCTAAAAGCCGGATTCTCCTGTCTCTCATTCCCCATTAGCCGTCATTGGCATGTATATTGAGAACTATCTGACAAGAAAGGGTTACTACGTTATACTCGCTGGGCATAACCTCCTTGGTTTTAGAAAGGTTTAGCATGCATTGAGCCGCAGTGCTATGAATACACTGAACTAGTATATACCATAAACTCGAGGTGGTTAAAGGTGGGAAGTTGACACGAAGCGGAAGCCGTAAGAAAGTGTGCGTGTGCCTCCTCTCAATCAGTCCTTGGAATGCCCGCTGGATGGCGGGGCTTCTAATGGAGGAATAAAAGATGAAAAGATGTGAGATGATGGTACTTGTAGGGTTGAATACATGGACGAACGGACACACAGACAGATGCATGACAGACGCACGGATGGCTGCGTGGACGGGTGGACGCATCGACTGACGCAGGAGCGGATGCATGGACAAACGCAGGGACGGACGCACAGATGGACGTGTGGACGCACAAACAGACGCACGTAGGGCGGGCGAATGGCCGCACGGGTGGCCACACGAACACATGCATGCACGGACGGAAGCAAGAACGAATGAACGGGTGGATGCTGCGCCCCACTCTTCTTCATTCACTCCGTGGATATGCTGCCATTTTTTTGCGTTATACGAATAAACATTATTATCAATTGCATGAGCAAGTCATCTAGCGTGAAAAGGTACATGGGAACTTCGTGGGCCAAAGAACTCGTGCATTCCCTTATGCATTCACCTACGATCAATTAATAAGGAAAGCGATCTCTCTGCTTCAAATTGATGTACTTATTTATACTCCTGTGCCTCTGTCAGTATTTTTTCGCACGCTAATTTGTTCGCAACTGCACCCGTGATTGACCCCCATTTCATCAAGCCATGACGTAGTGTGATGCCATAGTGATTTCGCCGGGGGACGCCATCAAGTGCACCACGCATGTTGACGTTGACACAACGGGACGCCTTCATTGCCAAAGGTTGATTCCTGTGTTTTAATGCGCATGTAAGACTTTAGCCTTAAAAGAATATGAGTACAAGTACTCACCTACTTTCCCAACGATCACCTTATCCCATCGACGAAACCATCCTTGTAGGACCTCTGATACCCTGCATTGAAAAGCTGTATAAAATATCAAAATATTAACAAGGACAGTACCTGAACTTACACTCGACCATCTATATAGTACGACCTGTTGAACCGAGTTGACAGCCTGTTTATAGTCAACTTGACGTCCACCGTACATAGGAGTGCTTCTGGAAGCGTTGAATTGTAAGTCCATATGGGCTCAGAAGTGTTCAGGAACTGAAAGTGGCAAACACCATGTTGCGTTTTTGACATTGCAGTGTCTCAATGCCTCAAAGTGTATAAACTCCGTAGGCATCCAAATTCGTAGATTGAATTTTAGTGCACGTAAAACGCGAAAAACACGTCGCAGCACAGTTGTCACGACCAAAGTACGTCGTGCTAGAAAAGCATCATCAGATAGACAGAATACTATCTTCACCATGCGCCGGCTCGCGCTCTCTTCACCCTTTTACCACCTTCCTCTTCGGCTTCACTGCGAGAACACGTGCGCCGATTTACCCAGCGTGGAATGCGATATCTGTGATGGGTGTGAGAACAAGTAAAGAGGGAAGTAAAGGGAGACAGATCGAGCCTTCGACTCAAATATTCGAAAGTGATCGTGGTGACCACTCGGCCATCCAGGCCCGGTAGGAGAGGGTACTATAGTCTTGTATATTTTAGTATAGCATGGGGCGAAAAGGGACAGTAAGGGTAAAGAAAGCAGATGAGGTGAAGGGGTGGTCAAACAGGACGAGAATTGAGTATAAAGAAATAAACATAAGGGAATAAAAAGAAAGAAACTGAGTAAACGCAATGAGTAAAATATGCAGAATAAAACACCATGTGAGCATGGTAGCACGCCAGCTTGAAAAAAGGTGTTCTAGCATGCTGGGCATGTCCGAAGTTGGAATGGGATGTTATAGGTTGGCACCTACGTGCCGCATAACCGTCCGTTTGGACTATCTGGAATGGAGAGAGAGAGAGAGAGAGAAACAAGAAAAAAGGAAGGCAGGTTGGTTAACCAGATGCTAGTATCCGGTATGCTACCCTACACTGGGATTGGGGAATAGGGGGTTGAAAGATAAAGGGAGAGTTAAAACAAAATAGGAGAAAAACACCAACACACACGCACACACAAAATCAGTCCACCAGAGGCGTTACGACAAGCCAGTAGTTCGTAAGAAGCCCAGTAGCGCTTGCACGGCTTTCTTCTGTGACGATGAGTCATGACGATGGCGCAGTATACTTTCTTCTGACAGCGGCTGGTCATCTAACCTGTTTAGTTTATTAGAAAGGTGTTGTCTTTCCAGGTTGCATTTCGGGCAGTCACACGGGATATGTCGAATTGTTTCTTCATCTCCGCAGTGTGCACAGTCAGCGGTGTCGGCCATACCTATGCGGAACGCGTACGCACGGGTAAACGCGACTCCCAATCATAGTCTGCACAGAGCAGTAGCGTCGCCTCGTCGAATTTTTGTTGGAAGCTGCATGCTTAACGTTGGATCAAGGGATCGTAATCTTGCATGCGTAAAGAGAGGCTCATTTCAAAGAGCCATAGGACGTTGTCGAGGAAGCATGCGGAGCCTCCTAGCAGCGTCCGTCCTTGAGAGGTATTGACTGGTCGTTGTCTTCTGTATGGGCTGAACGGGCAGCTTGATCAGCTCGTTCGTTACCGGTAATTCCGCAGTGGCTTGGCAACCACTGAAATATAACGTGGTGCCTTTTCTCTGTTATATGGTGTAGCATTTTTGCTGTTTCAAATACCAACTGCTCGTGTGGACCACGGCGTAGATTTGACAGAAGTGACTGCAGTGCCGCCTTGCAGTCGCAGAAAATCGTCCACCGTTGCGTGCTTTGGTCGTTAATGAAACGCAGCGCAGCGCGAAGCGCTGAAAGCTCTGCTGCCGTTGTTGTGGTTGCTTTAGCTGTCCTGAATTTGATGGTTGTGGCCTGCGTTGGAATAACGACCGCCGCAGTTGAGCTGTTTGGCAGGATGGAGCCGTCGGTGTATACGTGGGTGCAGTCTTGGTACTTCTCGTACAGCAGAAGTAAGGCGAGCTGCTTGAGGGCTGGTATTGAGAAATCTCGTTTTTTCTGGATGCTTGGTATTTTCAGGTTGATGACTGGCTGTGTGAGGCACCATGGAGGAATTGAAGGTCTCGCCGCGAGCGTAAAACCAGTTGGTAGTGAGTCACCATGTGTAGTTTTTGTTCGACAAAAGGAAGTATGAGGTCTATCCACTGATAGAGAGGCTAGGTGGTGATAGGGAATCCGGCCCACATGCCTTATGTGTGTCCTCAAAGCTTCAATTTCAATATGGGTCTGCACGAGGTGGTCTTTGGCTATAGCTATAGTCGCCATTGTTGAGGCACCCTGAGTCAGACCTAGACATATTCGAAGCGCCTGTGCCTGAACGCTTTGTATCATGCGTCGACTTCTTTTGCTGGCGTTTGATAATGGAGGCAGACTGTATCGTAAAAAGCCAAGGAAAAGCACCCTGTATAGTCGTAACATAGCATTAGGCTGCATTCCCCAAGTCTTTCCAGCGAGAAACTTGAAAAAACGGCATATGCCTGTCAATCGCTTTTTCAAATACGACACATGAGGGCTCCATGATATGTCTCTGTCGACTATGACACCCAGAAATTTGTGAGATCGACGATATGGTATACTTTGACCGTTAATTGACACTCTGTAATTCGACATGGATTCGCGCGTAAATGCCAGAAGAGGGCACTTTCCGAAGGAAATTTCCAGGCCTCGATAGCGTAGATACAAAGCAGTTGCAGTAGCAGCTCTCTGTATTCTCGCTCATAATTGCAGGCGAGTTACGGCAGATGTCCAGATGCAGACGTCATCAGCGTATGTTGATAGATAAATATTGTTTGGTAGGTGCGTATGGAGAGCGATTAGTGTTATATTGAATAGCACGGGGCTCAGTACACCACCCTGAGGGACGCCACGACAACTGAAATGTGTAGACGTGTTCCCGGTCTCTGTACTCACAAAATAGGATCACATTTGGAGATAACTGCGTATCCACCTAAACATTCGGCCACCCACTCCAATCTCTTCTAGTGCGACAGGGCTCTGTAGGAGATTCCGTCAAGTCCTGGTGCGGAGGCACGTTTGCATGAAGCGAGTGCTGCTTTGAGCTCCTGAATGGTGAACGGGAAGTCCATACAGGAATCACGTGGTGGCGGACAACTGCTCAAAAGTGGTCAGCTGCTGATGGCTTTTGTTTGCCCTGATAATCCGGCACAGAACTCTTCATCAACGTCCGCATCTGGTCGATTTTGGTGAAGGGCTAAGGCCTTGAATGGTGACTTCTGAATGGGCGATGACCGCAAACCTCTAACCTTCCTCCATATCTGGGATAAAGGCTTACGAGGGTCGAGTGACTCGCAGAAAGTAATCCAGCGTTGGAATTCTAGCTTGTCCAACCGACGTTTGATCTTCTTCTGCATACGTCAAGCAGTCCGTAAATCTTCTATGTCCTTCGTGCGCCGGTACCTTCTTTCAGCTCGTCGTCGCGTGGCTCGAAGCCGCTTCAGCTCTATGTCGATGTCCATAATTCTTACAGGGCATGGGATCGTACACACAGTCTCTTTTACAGTGCTCTTGATGGCCTCTTGTAAATCGGATATGTGTTCTTGGCATTGGTCTTCCATACAAGACTGAAATGTTTTCCAGTCCACTCTTTTAACCATGTCACGCACTTTAGGAGACGACAATCCTCTGATCTTGACGTATGTTGGAATGATATCACTCCCGTGCGTTTCTATATCCATGAACCATTCAGTATGTTTCACTAGGCTTCACGAAACAAAAGCCAAGTCGAGACAGCTACTCTATGTGGAGTCACGTAAAAATGTATGACTGCCATCGATCAGTAACCAAAGTTGTTTGTCGGAGGCAAAAGACACCAAGCTTCTGCTCTTCATGTTGGTATTCTGACTTCCCCATAATGTATGATGAGCGTTAAAATTCCCAATGATAACACACGGGTCAGGAGTTAACGCTATGATGTCTCGTAGTCTTTTTTGATCGAAACGGCTTGATGGTGATAGGTATGTGCCAACCACAGTGATGTGGAGCCTCCTTTTTTTCACTCTTAAGCATACGTATTGGTTTCCGTCATGAGGTGGTACAGGTTGAAGGATGTAAGTGAGGTCTCGGCGAATGTACACCAGAACCTTGCTGCTTTCATTAACAGTAGACGACATAAAAGGTTCGTATCCCGAGGGTCGTATTGCACTCGATAAGTTCGGCTCACATATGACGATTACGGGAAATATATTGACGTACACAAATCGAACAAAGTCACCAATGCACCATCTCAGTCCCCTGGCATTACACTGCAATATTGCTCCTTTACGAACCTCATCCCTGAAAGACAGTGGTGGGTTAGCCATGGTCTACTGTAGGGCTGCTAGCACTGGACTAAGCGCGTCCAGTACTTGAAGGGCACTTTTGGCTGACGGTGTATTCATGTCGCTTAACAACACGCCAATGGTGTCCACTAATGATCTTAGCATCACCATCACGCGATGATGTGGCTTCCCGGCCGTTGCAACATTTTGTTCTTGTTTTTTGAGGCGGATGCTGTGTAGGCTCAACAGGTCGTGTAGGCGGCTTCTGTTGAGGCTCAACAGATCATCTAGGCTGAAGGAGTGGCCATTCTTTTGGAGAGAGAGATCTTCCAGCATCTTCTCTTTCAGCGCAGATGTTTGCCGTACTAGGAGCCGCGCCTGTCGATTTCACTTTGAGTTTCTGACATTCTCGTCAGATTTTGCACTGTCCTTCGTGAGGGCCTTCGACAATGACGGCGCCTTCGCCATACTTTTGCAGCAGCTTCTCTGTGAGTCGAGTTGTCTCGCACCATTTGCCTCAGAATATAATCTCTTTCTTAATCTAAGGACAGTCCTTGGAGGAAGCACTGTGACCTGCTTGGCAGTTGGGGCATTTCAACGTAGTTGCAATACAGTCGTCCTCTGAGTGGTGTTCAGCGCATCGGGGCACACTGCGGAATTTCTTCACGTGGCCAATCTTCTGGCACTTGAAACACTGAATAGGCTTCGGAATAAATGGGCGAACTTGGTGACGGAAATGGCGAACCTTCACGTAAGAGGCAAGACAGTCACCCTTGAATGTTAATCGCACACAACGAGAGTTGCCTAGGCGACCAGCATGCACATTGACGTTGTTTTCACTCACTGGTTTTATCAGTAGAGGAAGATCTTCATTGGCGATTTCAGTGTCTATGTCATAGATAACTCCTGTTACAGTGTTACCATTCGCTGGTATGATGGATCGGACTTTGATGTTTCCCAACTCCGACACATGCTGTAGCGTGTTCAGTGCACTCGGATTCCTCACGTCGACTGCCAAAATATTCGTCTTTGTGTTTATCCTGATGTCCTTAATCTCGTTAGGCACAATGTTTTCAAGGTACAAGGACACGCTTGCCTATTGAGGAAGCGTAGATTGGCAGTAGTATTCTGCGGCACAAACAGCATGGAGTGAGGCCATCGCTGAGGCGCTGTCCTCACAGTGGCTGTACTTGATGCCGATGATGCGTCCATGATTCTTCGTTTTGCCTTGCGGTAGAGCACAGGTTCGAAGCCGTCTTCCGAGGACTCGTAGTCTGATGCAGAGTACAGCTCGGTGTCCTCGCTCTCACTAGATGGATTACCACGCTTTCTTGAAGCAATGCCCGTGGATGAACTGGTACTGGGTGGGATCTCCGGGGATTGTACATCCATGACCGCGATATAGGGGCTGGAGACCACGCTGTTGCGCTGTGGAACGCAGAAAATACAGCACCGACCGCAAATATGTTCCACAAGAGAATCACTGATTTGATTGATTTGTAGGACTTAACGTCCCAGAACCACCATATGAATATGAGAGACGCCGTAGTGGAGGGCTCCGGAAATTTCGACTGCCTGGTGTTCTTTAGCGTGCACCCAAATCTGAGCACACGGGCCTACAACATTCCCGCCTCCATCGGAAATGCGGCAGCCGCAGCCGGGAATAGATCCCGCGACCTACAGGTCAGCAGCCGAGTACGTTAGCCACTAGACCACCATGGCGAGGTGTCTGAATTGACGATAACAGGCCCGAGCTTTGTTGTTCTTACGCTGAATTCATTGGGGCCCCGACATGATGAACACCACCGGGACATACACTCCAAGCCACAATCCGAAGTGTGAGTGTAAATAAAGAAGGTAAATTGTTTGCTTCCACCCGCCGCTCAAAGCGTTGTTTCATTGCGCATTGTCCACGTCAACCAAGTATTTTAGAGAACATGCGGCCGCATCGCATTATAAATTTTAACCGGCCTTATGTGCGTGTCTGAAAAGAATAGATATCTTGAGGCTGAAAGGCACAAACAGTGTATGCAGAAACACTAAACCGATTCAGCTTTGAACAAAAAAAAAATGTTAAATACAATGGTGTGCCTTTTCGAGCAAACATTTGCGACTTTCCGTGCACACCGCTTGTGCAGCATTGTGCAGGTATAAGACGTCATGCTGCTAAGGTGGAGCATGCGAGCTCGTTTCGAGGCCACAGTTATTTATTAATAGAGCGAAATGCAAGAACACTTGCTCACTTGGATTTATATGCATGCTCTTTACCATGACCCTGAATCTAAGCATTCAGTTGCTCTTGCCAATGCTGCCTTGTGACACGCTTCATTCAGAGTGTGCGTTTTATATGTATTAGTCCTCAAAATAAAAAATACACGCCTACACATGGTGCCTTCAAATAAAAAGTAAGACATTTCAAATGGTATTGCTTTAAATCAGTGTATTTCTGTCGGTAAATATTCTACTTGCAGGATAAAAAATATCTATTGTATGTAATACTTCAAAAATGAGATTAGAATATACAACAGCACACGTCACAGCACGTTATCTCGTATTTTGCTCTCGTTCAAAAGCGAAGCTTCTCTAGCGAACATAAGGCAAATAGCCTGTTCTTTCTAGCTATCTATCTATCCAGCCAGCCTGTGGGTGCTCTCTTGGCCATCTCCGTAACTTTATTGTATATAAATTATCAAAGAAGAACACCAGATTACGCCGGATAATATTCATTGCATGGTGGACGGTGAGTTTCGAGGACACTGCGATGTGGGCCTTACTCCTGAATGAAAGTCCCGCCAACCTCCTATAGAAAGAATCGCAGATGAGCCGCAATGAACCAAACAGAACACATCCCGAATCCAAATGACCACTCGCACTTGCCCTTCTTCAGCACAAATTTAACATGCACTTTTGTACAGCGTGGTTAAACTCAATATGGCCGCCACTGTTTGGCGCTTTTCATGCGCAAAATATCTTGCTGTTTCACATCGTTTCGCTCTGATTCATGCAGCTTGCTTGATTTCAGTCTGATTGCAGTATGCGATTTCGCACTTCTAGCGATAGAAATTGCTGCATCTTGCTAGCACACAATCGTTTCGAGCTTTAACATGAAGTTTGCATGACATCGCACTTTCTGAATCTCAGCAGTACAAAACGCTGTATCTTGCTAGTTCACACCTTTTCCTGGTCCTTCGTGACGTTTGCATGATATCCCCGTTTCGCACTCCCGGAAGCACACAACGCTGTATTTCGCTAGTTCACATCAATTCGAGCTTCCATGTGCAGTTTTCTTGATATCGCCATTTTGCACTTCCAGCAGTACAACACGCTGTATCTGGCTAGTTCACATCATTTCCTTCTCTTCTGTCTTTTACATTACGAACCCTTTCACTCAGTCCTGTGTGACACATACTGACATACCATAGTTCATGTTACTCGGGTATGTGGCACATATGCTTGAGTATGAGTCGACACATTAACCACGAACCCTCACATTAAAAACGCAACACAAGTGAGGGAGTGACGGCACATTACAGACAAGCTATAGACTACCATCCACTCATCCGCGAAGCCCGCGAAAATGACAAAGTGTTCTTATGAGCCTGGACGGTGGCCTCATGCAGACACATCATGACGTCAGATTACCCGTAGGCCACTTTTCGACACGCGAAGCAGTCCTTATAAGTGCCCTGACACCCCACAGCTGTTGTATACCGCAATTAAAGGGCACGTGTTTAGAAAAGACGAGGGCGTTCTTCGTCACAAGCATTACATATCGGCTTACTGCTGTGCTGTTATAATACCCATGTTGTTTTTCGCATCGCTAAGCAACTGTAGACAACTGGTTATATATAAAAAAAATATGCGACTCTCTTGCATAAGTGTGAGGCACAAAATTTTACATCATAACGTCATGTCAGAACATTTTGCTGTTAAAAAAAATAAACCAGTCACCTTTCCACTGTATGCTTCACAGTGGGAATCTCTTCGAATGATCTAATCTGCCAAATTTTTGTACAAGCTTTCTGCGCTCTCATAAAGGGCATCCTTGACAGGTATGTGGTGCAAACGAGCCAGAGCAGCGAACTTTCTGGGAAATAGTATCATGCACGTTACGCCTTCAGAAAAACATTATGAAGTGTATAGTTACCATATTTTCACGCCTAATACAAATTAAGGTGCATAAAAAATGCGCCTGAGCACGTATGCACCTAGCCGCGGCACTGACGTGGCGATTTCCCACACTCAAGTATGGCTTCGTAATATATAGAAAGGGAATATTCCCTGATAAGCAATATTGCATCAGATCATTCTCCCCATCTACACATAGAGACAAGGAATAAGGTGGGTATTCTTTGTGAATTCCCGGCAAATCACTGCAACCAACTTTTTCTCTTCATTACATCAAAATGACTAAAGTATACACCAATTATTTATCATAGCTATGCTAATATACTCTGACTGCGAGTAAGAGCCGCCAGGAGTAATCTCTTTTTTTTGGACATCTGTGCTAACGTGCTTCGAAAAAATACAATCACCAACCCTTCGCCTAGACTTCCTACAATAGGTTCTTGTTACACCTGCAATAAAGAAACAATTGACTTATTGCATTAGGAGTGCACGCACACACCACACATGCCTGTTTGAGTGATATGTTTGAGGGTGTCTGTGCACTATTAAACTGAAGAACATATTTTATGTGTCTGAACAACTCACTTTAAAAAGGTTAGAGAAAACATAATAATGTTAGTAAGCTAAGCTGACACTAAAAGATGGCAGAAGGTTATTAACTGCTCTAAAAAGTGCAGCTATTCATAAAATTATGCTAGCTAACTACAGTGTAAATAAATGAGGGATATAAAGTAGATTGTTTGGGGCGCAGGTACTTCCAAGATTGCTGTGTTTTTTGTTCGCTTGTACGTTGATCTCACACAAAAGGAAACAGGAAGTTCTGTTACCTTTCTGATGCGGTAGCGGGGATAACGCGACTTCTCTTCGAAATCTTCTGAACTGGCGGCTAATATTAGCAGGAGGAATAAAGTGAGTGCCGATGAAAAGGGAACCAGCATGGCTGACCTGAAGCCGTCGTGGCGCGCAGACAATAAACGTAATGCTTTACAAGTTCAAGCATACAACAAATCATACAAGTTGACAATACAGTGCAGTTGCTTACGCTTTTGAGGGACTTACAATGCTGTATTGTTCACATTTACAGATTCCGGCACTTTTTAGAATTCATCAGAAAAATACCACATCAATAGGGACATTTCAAACTCGGCAAAAATGCACCCTGAGTGTTTGAAAGGAAACAAATACTTTGTGTTCATCTCGAACAAATACCATTCGTTGATTTCAAAATTGAATCTTGCCTGTCTTTCAAGTAACACATAGTTTAAGCGTTCTGCGAACACCGAAAAAGAACGAAAATCACGGACAGCTGTACTTGTTAGTGATTTATCCCATTTTCCGTGATTTGTCATAACCTTCAATGAACTGAATTATGCTTAAGGAAAAAACAACCTTAATGTATTCCCTGTTAACAGAACCTTTATCGCACATTCGTTTTGATGCGTTGGTTCCCATCTGTACACAGGATACTATAAGCCGTATAAGAAGTTTACTGGCAATAACTACGGTATGTAACAATGTATCAACATATTGTCACTACCGGCAGAGAAAGAATGCATAGTACTGTGAAAAATACATTTTGTGATATTTTCTTCCGGCAAATCCAAAATTTGCAGTAAGTTTTTTATATTACCAGTTCACAGCTCAGCAGAGGGAAAGCGAACGCCTGTGATGCGTTTTGTGCTATTGAATTTTGTTTTGTAATAAGGAAACTATAAGGGAGTGAATTATTGCTATTCATTGACAAAAAAGAACCTTCATGTGCAAACGTTTTTGTTTTTTTACCATGGAGCTGACGGACAAGACTAGCAGGGCTTGCAGTAGCACAAGGGCAAGATAAGAATAGGTCGTAAAGATTACCAGAACGTTTTCTGAGACAAGGCAAACGTGTGAATGGAGAGAAGAGCGTTAGGTGGGCAAATTACATTGAGACATATGCATAAATCACGCGGCCACAGCAAACGCATTGTCAGGTTTTTCGACGGCGCATGAGAGGGGCCTGCGCGCAACAGAGGAGGTAGTAATGTTGATTATGGTTATGATTTGATAATGTAGTATTCATAAGGCAAGCAAGAGCATTAAATTGTTAGCGAAAAAACGTACAACCCGGCGTGATAATGAAGTAACCTGCGCAAAAAGTCTTGACAATTTTGCAATTTATATTTTTTTCTTTTAGAGATTTACGCCAATGCTCGATCACCTATGGCGAATGCCTAGATACCATGGGGCAAGATAAGAACAGTATGTGGGTGTGTGCCACACGATAACTTTGGAGATCGTTTTAAGACGTGTGGTTAGGGCGGCGTGTTATTTATATGATAACCAGTCAGTCGTCTTCTCCATGCCCTTGTGTACTTCTATGATAATTTTGGAACGCACTGAGTTACATCGATGCCCAAAAGAGCGCCAGTGCATAGATATACAGGAACGCTCAAGCTAATTTTCATTCCTGAGAACGCTTTGCATTTATTGAACTCATACGATAACTTGCAATATAGTCTTACTGTGTCAAGCTCTGACGTTGCCCTCTCGCCAATAGATTAGTCTCCCCAGTTCAAGAAACCTCACTGTGTCAAGCTCTGACGTTGTCATCTCGCCAGTAGAAAAGTCTCCTCGGTTCAAGCCTCTTCAGAAGACACCATTCGCGCAATGAATTGTGATCTTGCGACCTGCTCGAGCAATATAAGAAATAATTAATGAAAGTACACGCACATACTGAGATTAGAGCTTTACATAAAAGGAGATATTTATTATTCGGTAGTTTCTTATAACACACAGTGAAATACGACATTTCTAATACTTGTACCACTATCCTGAATTGCACACTGTGGTCAGTTCATCCACACCAAGAAAAAAAAAGAGAGAGAGAACCAGTACACCACTGCGTCGCCAAAGTGTTCCGTTTGCTCGCTATTTCTTTGCACATTTCTGTCGTGTCTTTTAAATTACCACGTTTGAACTATTTCTAGCAGTCGTCGTCAGCACAATACGCCCAGCACGTATTACCAGTTTAAATTTTTACCAAAGCGTGTGAAGATATTTTTTCATAGAGTGAGTATGCTAGGTAAAGGCTAATACAAAATTGTCTGTATTCTAAAAGAAAACATTACTCTGTCATGTGAAAGTGTAATGTGGTTCTCGCGCCTGTTCTATAATCTTCATATTTGCAGAACTCACTAAAGTTGTTGCGCATACCTTCCGCGTGAAAATACACACACGTATTGATAAGCATCATCTGCATACGCCTCATGCATCACCAAAATGCATGATTCTGGACATCCGGTTTATGATAGATAAAACAGGAATCACACAGACATTCCAACCAGTTTCAAGAGAATCGCAACATGATTTTCATGAAGCTAAATTCATATTCTCGAATTCAACTACCGGTGTATTTTAAACAAAGAAAAAGTAGTGTATAGCTCGCAACTTCAAAAATGAAGACCAATATTTCACCCTTAACAATTAAATTCTTTTTAAAATCTCTCAGTTGGCCATCCCACTAAATCTTGATTTCAAGCTACTTTCCAAGATGGAATGTTTCCTTTGAGAAAACACAACAGTTATAGAGGCGAAGCACGTCATGGGTGAAACTTGTCCATCCGTTTGACTTATGGCTATAGTTGAAACATAGGTAAGACAAAAAAATTGGCATATCCCACGTACAGTCGGAATCGACGACACGCGAAGCATGAAGTAGAAATTTTTATACGTCACTTTAGAGAGAGAGAGATAAAGATGCAAGGAAAAGCAGGTAGGTTAACCAGACGCACATCCGGTTTGCTACCCTGCACTGGGGAAAGGATAAAGGGGAGAAAAGAGATATGTCACTTTAAAATCAGTACAACGTTACGGGGTGGGAGTAAATGATGCCGTACATGACTTTCGTTTCATTATTATCATGTTCGGATGTGTCGTTTACCTTCATAATCTATTCACGTCACGTGATGAGTGAATAAGAACAACTTTATTATGGTCCAGTGCAGATGCTGAGGTTGCCACGCGTCACCCGGCTACTCCCACGTGGGGACCAGCAGGTCTAGCCAACGGCCCTGTCGTGGGTACACTGGACGGCCAGGATTTGGTCCTGAAGTTCTGGGCTGTGCAGAAGCGCCTCCCACTCGGGTTTGCGATACGTCGGTCCAAGTGACCCGCACTCCCACAGCATGTGTGCTAACGTAGCGGTCTGCCCGCAAGCGGCGCAGGCGCCATCGGAGAATTTGTGAGGATAAATTGCATTTAGGTATGCTAACGACGGGTACGAATGGGTTTGTAGTAAGCGCAATGAGACGGCCTGTGCTCTATTGAGTTTTGAGTGTGGCATTGGGAATGCCCGCCTCACCATGTAGTAATACTTGGTAATCTCGTTGTGTGTAGTAGGTGTGTCTTTATGTCCCACGTCGTCGGCACTGGCGCCGTCGCCCAGGTCGAGAGCAGCACGGTCAGTGAGTGCCCGCGCGGCTGTGTGAGACGACTTATTCGGGTTCAGTGCAACATCGTTTACGGAGCCGACATGCGCGGGGAACCAATGTATGGTGTGAGGGACAATCGTATCGCTGGTGGAGCTGTTCAAGATCCTGGCTGCCTGTGTTGATATGCGGCCCTTTTGAAATATGCGGCCCTTTTGAATCCGCAGTCAGAACCTTTTGAAAGGCTCTGACTGCGGATTTGGAGTCGCTGTACACCTCTTCGCACCGACCATTTAGCAGAGCCAGTGCGATGGCCACTTTTTCGGCCACCTGGAGATTTGTTGTGCGTACCGTGGCGCAGTTCGTAGTCGAGCCGGTCTGGTCCACGACCACCGCTGCGAACTTTTTGCCGTCTCGATATGCTGCAGCGTCAACGAAACTTGCATTTACGCCACCTTTTCCCAGTTGCTTCAGTAGAGTCGTCGCCCTTGCCCGACGACGTCCCTCATTGTGTACAGGGTGAGTGTTTCGGGGTATTGGGGCAACAATGACGTTTTCCTGTATATGTTTTGATATACGCACGTTATTTGTTTTCAGTTCTATTGGGTTAAAACCTAGCTCGCGAAGTATGCGCCGACCAGCCATCATAGTGGACAAGCGAGCCAGCTGCGAGCGTTGCTGCGCTTCCGCTATCTCAGCAGCAAAGTTGTGCACACCGTGCGCGAGCAAGTTGTGTGCGTACGGGAAGCAAGTTGTGTGCGTGTGTGGGTACGGGAATCCCCAGTGCTTTCTTGACGATCTCTTTTTGATAATTACGTCGAGCTTGTCAGCTTGGACAAGCTTTACCTACACCGTTCATGGCAACGATGTAGGTAGCCCCGCCGCGGTGGCCTAGTGGCTAAGGTACTCGGCTGCTGACCCGCAGGGCGCGGGTTCGAATCCCGGCTGCGGTGGCTGCATTTCCGTTGGAGGCGGAAATGTCGTAGGCCCGTGTGCTCAGATTTGGGTGCACGTTAAAGAACCCCAGGTGGTCTAAATTTCCGGAGCCCTCCACTACGGCGCCTCTCATAATCATATAGTGGCTTTGGGACGTTAAACCCCACATATCAATCAATCAATCAACGGTGTAGGTAAAGTGGCAGAGCACAAACGCATTGATGAGCATTAACAAATTGTGTTCCTTAAGGCCTCTATGTCTCCCGGAGACTCTTTTGACGAGTCGAAAAGCGTTGTCAGTCTTGGCGACAATCTTCCGCAGAGCAGTACCGTTGCAACCGTTCGCTTCAATAAACATGCCGAGGATCCGGATGGTGTTTACCCTCGGGATTTTCTCGCCATCACTCGTGTAAATGTGTATATTGCTTTCTTCGACGGGTTTCCATCCCTTAGGTCGGCCACCTCGTTCTTTTCTGTAGAGCAGGAGCTCCGACTTGGTGGGTGAGCATCTCAGTCCCGTTTGGCGAAAGCACGATTCCACCTCGGCGACTGCTTTTTGAAGGGCATCTTGCACCTGGCCTTCGCTGCCGCCAACGCACCAGGTTGTGATGTTG